GTTGTTTGTTGGGTCAACAACAAGAACAACTTGCAATTAGACAAAGACCCTCACGCAGGTTAGTGACCCAGAGCACTTGACAGTGGTGGAGCAAGATGTGACCATGGGCACAGTCGAAGAGGAAGGTCTTCAGGCGTGACAAAGACAGGGAAGGGAGGACGGAAGGAAGGAAGGAAGGAAGGAAGGAAGGAAGGAAGGAAGGAAGGAAGGAAGGAAGGAAGGAAGGAAGGAAGGAAGGAAGGAAGGAAGGAATGGGCAAATTGGAGGGATACAGGGAGAGTGTTCCAGAATCTTGGAGCGTATTGGCTGAAAGTGCAACCACCAATGGTGGAACAGTGGGCACGAGGAAGCCGGAGCCAGTTGAGCGGAAGCAAAGGATGGTGGAGTAGGGGGTAAGCAGGTTGGAGAGGTGGTGAGTTTGCAGAGCGTGAAGAGATTTGAAAACGAGTGTGAGGATCTTGAAATTGATCCGTTTGGTGATTGGGAGCCGGTGGAGCCTGGCAAGGACTGGTGCGATGGGGAATGGAGTTCCGTGCGGAGTTTTGAATTAATTGGATTTTGTGTATGGTGGACTTGGGAGACCATCGAGGAGGCCAATGGAATAGACCAGCTGGGAAGTGAAGAGAGTGTGGACGGAGGCTTTGGCTGCTGCCGGTGTGAGATACAGATGGAGGTCAGACACAGGGATAGTTACTGTGTAAACGTCACATCCGCTGTTGACAAGAGCTTCTGCTTTTCCCTTCTGAGGAACGTGATGGCGATGCTGCTGAATTTCCTGATTTCCTCCAGTCCAGCCTCCGTGTCAAAAGCCATCATAATCAGGTGCCAGTGTCCATAAAGCTGGGAGAGGAAACATAACATCATATTGCAGTGCATAACTGACTTTCGGGTGATTGATATCTATACCAATAAAGACAAAATGTCTGCCTGTCTGACTGTCCGCCCGCCAGGAATGCAACAACCGATTAATGTAGAGACATGATTTATACCCCATCGAAAAGGCTTTTCGAGGGGTGTGTCGTGGGCAAAATATTTTCGGGAATCTGCTGTCGTTCATGAGCTATGACCTAAACAGCGTCATCACTCGTAGGTGGACTCCAACGAGTCCCTCCAAAGAGAAGCCTCCCAGCAGGAGTCCTCCTACAGGAGTCCTACCAACAGGTGTCCTCCCAAGAAGAGTCCTACGAACAGACATCCTCTTACAGGACTTCTACCACAGAAGACATCTCAACAAGGAGTTCTACCACAGGAGTCCTCCCAACAGGAGTCCTCCCACAGGAGTCCTCCCAATAGCACATTTTTTTAATCTTAAGGGATAAAGTTGCCTAAGAAGCGAAGATCAAGCCTTTCGAAGACAAATAAAAACGCCAGGCAAAAGAGAGAAGGCTGATTACATGAAACTGAAGAGCAAAGAAAAGCACGGCCGGCCTTCCACGTAGAAAGACACGCAGGAACACGGCAAAATGGTGTCCAGCAGCAGAGGTCATTCCGTTCAGCTGCGCTCAACTGCGAACCTGGCAGAGACTGCCAATCAGACAGTGCCCATCATCACTGAGATCTACGTTCCACATTGGAGCCATTGGTTGCAAGCAAAGCTGTAACGGGTACAACTAGTTAATAGCAATAATAATAATCCTTGCATTTGATACTGCAAGTTATCACCTCATTAAGACATCTCAAAGCACTCTCTCCCTCTCTCCACGGTCTGACTCCTCTCTCCCTACCTCTGTGACTTCCTAACCCTCACTAACCTCTGCGCTTTCTCTGCTCAGCGGGCTCTGGCCTGCTTCATGTCTCCTATCCGCCCCACCATTGGCGGTTGGGCCTTCAGCCTCTCTGCTCCCACCCTCTGGAACGCCGTCCCACGGTCCCTCGGCCTCGCTCCCTCCCTCGCCGCCTTAAAGGCCCATCTGAAGACCTTCATCTTCGACCGCGTGCCTTTGCTCACCCACTTACAGCCACCCTCCCCGCCTTCACCCCTCTTGATCCCAACCCGCATCTCGGGTCCAATCCCCTGGCTGCCCAGCACCTTGGGATAACTTCCTGAAGTTAAAGATGCAGTGTAAATGCAATATGTCGTTGTTGTTTTACCTTGGCATCATTGAAAAAGTCGACCCCAAGCATCTCATCGTCAAAGGCACAGTCCCTTCCCTGGACACCCAGGCAAAACAGGTACAAGAGCCACACACAAACCCACTGAAGGATCATGGTGAGAAAGCAAAGACAACTTGCGGAGTGGAGTCTACACTGTAAACGAGGCTCCTCTGACCGGATTCAGCAATGTGAGTCTAGTCAGCGAGTAGGGAGGTTAAATAGAGCTTGTGGTGATGTCAGTTACCCACGATTATTAACCCGAGAAGTGACATTTTCTGGGAACGCTTTGTGCCATTCAGAGCCCCATCACCCCAGTCCTCACCAGGCTCCAACGGCTCTGAACGCATCGATTTCAGGTTCCTCTGACTCGTTTGCTAATAGTTTCATGCTCTCACACCTCCATGCCTCTCCGACCATCTTACTTCCACTCCAAATGCAAGGATTATCATTATTATTATAATTATTATAATTATTATAATTATTATTATTATTATTATTCTACAGATTAATCTTTAATTTCGTGACATTGAAGGAAGACACAATAATTGACAAACCTGATGCGCACAGCCCAGCTGATACCCACACCCACGGACATAGTTTTGTTTTATTGTGTCTCGCAAGAACGCAATGTCCTGTAAACCCGGATTATCTGGGAGTCTCCATGAATTAATCATTAATCTCCCAGACAAACCGGGAGACAGATCGTAGGACATTTTCAATGGAGCTGGAATCGAGCAGCTCAGATGTGGAATCGTCAACTCAACACAAATAAGCATGAACGAGCGAATAAAATAAAAATAGCAAATAAAATGAGATGCAAAAAAAGGTAATTTATTGATGAGGAAGACCATCAGAGAGAGAGAGAGAGACTGAGGAGGAAGGGCTGCAATCTTCATGTCTCAGGCTTTCCAGAGTTGAGTGATGGTCAAGGAAGAGGTGCTGTAGGAAGGAAGAGAGAGACAGTGAGTGAGTGCAGAGAGGATACAACCCCTATCTCCCAATCTCCGGATGTCTGGATATGGATAATAGTAATCCTTGCATTTGATACAGTGCCTTCGCACATCTTCGAGACATCATAAAGCGCTTCACGGGATGCAGTCAAGTGTAACGACTGTGTTTTGTGGGCCAAACGTGGCAGCCAATTGTGCGCAGCAGTGTGCTGCAAACAGTTGTGGATTTAGTGACCAAATTATTATGTAAAATAACCCTTCGGAACCCCAAGCAACGGTCTCTCCGCCTTGCCCTCTCACTTGCCTCTTTCAAGTCCCATCTCAAGACCCTCCTCTTCGACGAAAGGCGTGTTTGGTCACCTTGCTACCCCTATTTTATTTTATTGACATCGTGTCTCGGAGCTTTTCCCCCCGGTGTTCAGCAACTAACCTCGATTTTGAGGAAAGACGTAGAACTCGTTCATCGCCATGCGATCGGCTCGGTCTCTGAAATCTTCCTTCCCTACGTTGTGTACAGTTGGGTTCCTGGCTGTGTGGGCAGAGCAAAGGCAACTGAATCATAATAACAATTAGCAAACGACAAAGCACTGTAGATATTGGAGATCTGTTTCAGGTTTTGACGAAAAGTCATCAACATGAAACGCTAACTCGTTTTCCTCTCTCCATTGAAGCTGCCTGACCCCGCTGTGTGATCCCAGCGACTTCTGTTTTTATTAATAATAATGATACTTACATCTCTTGTCGGTGTCGGTGGCAATGTCCCAGAGCGCTTGACAGTGGCAGAGCACGACACCGATCCAGGGGGAGAGGGGAAGTGGCCGTATCGCGCATTCTCCGGATTTCAGACACAACTTTTCTCTCTGTAATCGCCCGCCGTTGCCGTCTTTTCTCTTGCACCGTCGATCCATAGAGAGCCAGTGGCGAGGACCGGTGTGATGGGGGACAAAGTTTCATGCAGGTGTGGGCGCAGGCGGCAGAGTTTTGAATTGATTGGATTTTGTGTGTGTGGTGGAGCTGGGGAGACCAGCGAGGTGGGCATCGCAATAGTACAGCTGGGAAGTGATGAAGGTACGGACAAGGATTTTGGCTGCTGTGAGTGTGAGCGAGGTATGCACGGAGGTCAGACTCTGGGATAGTTACTGTGCTTCTCCGCTGTCCCCTGTCACAAACATCTTCAAGTCTTCCGTTTTGGTTAAGTTGAATAATAGGTTGTCCATTCCCCTGATTTCATCCAATCCAGCCGCGGTGGAAGAGGCTTGCATAATCATATACCACCGGCCATAAAACTGGGAGAGGAAACATTACATCAGATGCGTAACTTATTTTCAGGTGATTATTATTAATATTAATAAACCTTGCATTGATATAATCCTAATCACGTCTTTGAGCTGTCTCAATAATAATAATAATAATAATAATAATAATAATCCTTGCATTTGATATAGCACGTCGGGAGGACGTCCCAAAGCGCTTCACAGAACACACTGTAAAGTGAATTGACTGTATACTTGTGGGCGAACGCAGCAGCCAATTGCGCACAGCAATGTCCCACAAACAGTCGTGGATTGAAGATGACCAATTTATTATTGTTTTTGGTTTTGGAGGGTTTATTATTAGGCTCTGTGTGGAGTAAGGAAACTTGCCCAAGGTTTGGCCCTGACCTGCCGGGGATTGAACTCAGAGCTCTCACTTGCAAAGCGAGCGCTCTAACCATTGAGCTACAGGACTCCACTCAAGCCACACCCTCCCTCCTTCCCTATTTTTGACCCTGTCTCCCCCTCATGGAGTCCTGTAGCTCAGGGAGCCATTGGAGCTTGCCGAGGGCTGGGGTGATGAGGAGTCACGGAGGTTAGTGTGTGACGGGGAGCATGGCGAGGACTGGGGTGGTGTGCATCTGAAAGGAACAAAGTGTTCCCAGCAAATGCCACGTCGTTGGTTAATAATCCTGGTTTACTGATGTCACCACAAGCTCTATTTAACCTCCCTACTCGCTGGCTGTACGCACATTGCTGTGTCCGCACTGCGTCCAGTCGGAGGAACCTCGTTTACTGCGTAGACTCCGCAAGTTGTCTTTGTTTTCTTACCATGATCTTTCAGCAGGTTTGTATCTGGTTCTTCTGCCTGTTTTGTCTGGGCGTCCAGGGAAGAGGGACCTGTAACTTCAACGATGAGTTTTATGCAGGCGACCTGGCCAAGGGCAACAAGGTAACACAACACGTTATGCTTACACAGCGCCTTTAGCGTCAGGAGGACGCCTCAATGTGCTGGACAGTCTGTGATCCATGCTCGAGCTGGCGGTTGGTATCAGGAGGGGCGAAGGGCAGGGAGGGTGGAGGTAGGAAGGTGACCGAAGGTGTAATTGGTCGAAGAGGTGCGTGTTGAGACAAATCTTGATGGAGGCGAGGGAGGTGGCGAGGCTGAGGGACTGTGGGATGCAGAGGGTGGAGGCAGAGAGGCTGAAGGCCAGACCAATAATGCTGGGGAGCGCCGGGCGGGGGACATGAAGCAGGCCGGAGACCCCTGAATGGAAGGAGCGGACAGGTTGGTAGGGGGTTAGGAGGTCACAGAGGTGGGGAGGAACCAGGCCGTGGACTTTGAAGGCGAGGACCAGGTTGGTGGGTGGTGGTTGAATGAGACAGGAGAGCGGGAGATGAGGGGTAATTTTAAGGGGTTGGATACAGTGCAAGTAGACACAGAGCGATTGACCCTGTCTGATAGTTGGTGGCAAGGAGGAGCAGCTGGAAGGTAAGGGGAGGGGTAGGCATGAGAGCGGGTGGTGGGCTTCATTTGGGAAATCCTGATATTGATTGCACACGACAGTGACCCACAAACAGTGGTGGATCGAGTGATCAATTTTTTATAGTAATTTTTTTTTGAAAGAATTATTATCCCAGGAAAGGCCATCCACCAATCGACTAACAACCGGGTTCCTGCTTACAGTGAAGTCAACAGCATTGGGTGTGTAGAGTAAGGAAACTTGTCCAACTCCTTGACCCGCCCTGGAATCAAACCCCCACGCCATTTCGCTTGCGAGGCGAGTGCTCTAACACTGAGCTACAGGGCTCCACGAGAGGGTCAAAAATGTGGAGGGAGGGAGGGAGGGAGGGAGGGAGTGGGAGGTGCCGTTTAAGATGTCTCAGAGACATGATAAGGTGCTACATCAAATGCAAGGATTATTATTATCAATACTAATAGTAATAACAATCTCCTGAAAATAAGTTTCGCTTCTGATGTGATGTTTCCTCACCCAGTTTTATGGCCGGTGGTACCTGATTATGCAAGCCTCCTCCACGAAGGCCGGATTGGAGAAAGTCACGAAACTAGACAACGCTATCTACACCTTAATCAAAAGAGACGACCTGAAGATGTTTGCCAAAGGGGACGTGAGAGCTGCAAAGTAACTATCCCGGAGTCTGACCTCCGTGCATACCTCACACTCACAGCGGTCAAAACCCTCGTCACCTTCATCACTTCCCGGCTGGACTATTCCAATGCCCGCCGGCCTCCCCAGCTCCACCATACACAAAATCCAATTAATTCAAAACTATTTTTTCCTTAACGAGAGTCTCCATTATTTTACCCACAATGGACATCAAACTTCTCGGTCTAGTTTCTTGGGTCACGTTTGTTACCTTTCTTAAAAATAGGAGTAACATCTGGCTTTCCTCTTCCTTCCGTCCCCATCTTCAGGTGATCCCTGAAGACCTCCCTCTTCGACTGTGTCTACAGTCCCCCCCTCCCTCCCTCCTTCCCCCCGGCCTGGTGTCATGCTCCGCCGCTGTCAAGCATTTGTGGGACACAATGTGCATGAAGGGCGCTGTGTAAATGCAAATTGCTGTTGTCGACCCACCAAATCACAGGAACCCTTGAGCACCTCCATGAGAGGAGACGAGGGAAGAGGAGAGGGCTGGAAGGTGTGGGTCAAGGCAGTGACATTGTGTTGTTGTTTCCAGTGCAGATGCCTGTATTCACAATGAGTGGATGTTCCATGTTAATTCAGCGACCAAGCATATGATGAGGGATGGTAAGCAAGATCCTCTGCACCCAGAACACAAACACCACAGCTTCGTTGATAGATGCCATCCTATAGTTCAGTGGTAAGAGCACTCGTCTCGCAACCAAGAGGACCTGAGTTCGATTCCCAGGTCACAGTTTGGTCACTCAGTCCAGGACTGTCTGTGGGACACTGCTGTGCGCAATTGGCTGCTGCATTTCACCCACAAAACACACAGTCACTACACTTTGAGACGTCTCGAAGACGCGATACGGCGCTGTATCAAATCCAAGGATCATTTTTATTGATGGTGCAAAACAAAATAAGGCAACAGTGGGAGATTATAGAGAACACATACGTCTGAGACCCAGACAATATGTGATAAGGTCAGCTCCCACCCCTCCCACCGCTCAGTTTCATTCTCCGTCGCTCTCAAGTGCTCGGGGACGCAATGATGCGCGAGCGGAGCTGTGTAAACTCAAGTTATTGTGGTTGTTTTCAACTCTAGATATCGTGCATCGGGAATATCGTGTATATTCACCTGATTGCAAGAATTGTATGATTCTGCGTGAGACACAGAAAACAGGCAAACGGGTCTTTGACAGAATATTACTGTACGGTAAGCGGAAAATTATACCTCTAGTTCCCCAAATGTCCTGGCTGACAATCCCCCCCCCCCCCAACCCCCGATAAAAGGATTGGTCACTCACTTCACGGCTGTTGGCGGGACTTTGCTGTGTGCAAACTGGCTGTAGAGCTCATCGTCATTCATTGACTTCAAGACCCTCTTACTCATTTACAAACCCTTCACGCCCTGGCACCTCCCTACCTCTCCGACGCGCTTAGACCCCACTCCACCGCCCGCTGCCTCTGCTCGGCCAGCTCCAGCCTCCTGCCTGTCCTTCGTCATCAGTGGCTGTACCTTCAGCCACTACGCCCTCAAACCTTTGAACTCTCCCCCACCAGGAAGCAGGAACCCGGTTGTTAGTCGATTGGATGATCGCTTTTCCGGAGGATTTAATTCCTTCAAAATAACTACAAATAATATGGGCACTCAATCCCCGACTGTTGGTGGGACATTGCTGTGAGCAATTGGCTGCCGCATTTCACTCACCAAAGACACAATCACTCCACTTCACAGTGAGTCCTGCGAAGCGCTTTGAGACGTCTTTGGAGACGTGGTAATGTGCTGTGTCAAAAGCAAGGATTATGAAAGGTGCTGGAGTAGGTGTAAGTATTATTACGATGATTAAAGGTTGCCTTTGCTCTGCCCACACAGCCAGGAAAGTTATTGTATGCTCCACAGTGAGAGACGATTTCCGAACCCGAGCCAATTGCTGGAACATGAACGAGATCTTTGTCCTGCCTCAAAAATTGGGTCAGTTGCTGGGCGCTGGGAGAAATACACTGAGAAGCGCAGTCAATATAATACGATACCGAATGACATTTACGCAGCGTCTCTCATGTCGGGAGGACGTTCCAAGGCACTGGGCTGGACAGTCAGGGAGTTCGACCCGAGCTGGGGGTTGGGATCAGGAAGGGTGGAGGGCAGGGAGGGTAGGCGTAGGAGGGAGACCGAAGGTGTGTTTGGTCGAAGAGGAGGGTCTTGAGACAGGTCTGGAAAGAGGCGAGGGAGGGGGCGATGCTAAGAGACCATGGGATGGGGTTCCGAAGGGTTATTATTTTAAATGATAATGTGCTCACTCGATCCAGGACTGTGTGTGGGGCCCTGTTGTGTGCAATTGGCTATTGCGTTTAGCCCACAAAATACACAGCTACTACACATTGACAGTGTATCCTGTGAAGCGCTTTGAGACGTCTCGAAGACGTCATAAGGCCCTATACCAAATGTAAGGATTATTATTATTGTCTATGTCCAGACCATGCAATGGAACAACACCGTGGGAGATGGGGGGCCAAGGGGGATAGGAGCTGTATACTCCCCGCACTCACTCTCTCTCTCTCTTCCTTCCTACAGCATTTTGTGCTTGAACATCACCCAACTCTGGAAAGCTTGAAACATGATGCTCGAAGCCCCTCTTCTCTCTGCTTACGTCTCCCCCACCTCTCTCTCTCTCTCTCTATTGGTCTTTCTCATCAATAAATTACCCAGTTTTGCATCTCATTTCATTGCACTTGTTCACTCTTGTTTGTGCCAAGGTTCTCCCCAACCCTCGCTCCCCGCTGGCCGACACGGTCAAAAAAAACCACCCTCGACCCCTCTAATCTTGCACACTACCATCCCATCCCCAACCTTTCCTTCCTCCTCGAGCCCCTACATAGTGGTTTTCGCCCTGACTGCCCACAGCACAGAGGCAGCACTTGTCAAAGTCACAAACGACATCCTCTCTGTCTGTGACCAGGGCCCCCTCTGCCTCCTGACCCTCCTGGATCTCTCTGCCGTGTTCAACACAGTTGACCATGCCATCCTCCTCCATCGGCTCTCTTCCCTCATCTAACTGCGTGGGACCAAACTCACATGGGTGGGGGCAAGGCAGTGCAGGAAGGAAAGGTTGGAGATGGGACGGAAGTCTGCAAGACTAGAGGGATCGAGGGTGGGCTTTTTGAGGAGAGGTGTGATAACAACGGTTTTCAGGTGGAGTGGGGCAGAACCTGAGATGAGAGACAGGTTGACCGTGTCGGCCAGTAGGGGGCGGGTGGGTTAGAAGGGGGAGTTGAGTGACCAGCAGCTAAGTGGGGAGAGGATTAAGGTCGCAGGTGGTGAACTTCATCTGGATGTTTGCAGTTGAGAGGGAGGAGGGAGAAATGGGGATAAGGAATGTAATGAGGGCCTGGTGGAGGCAGAAGGCAGTGTGGATGGTCTGGGTAGGGTGGAAGGTGACATAGGGGTGGGTGGGGGAGTGTTGGTGGGTGCGAGAGGTCGATGCAGCTGAGCAAAATGTTTTTGATTGTTGAGGCAAAGAAGTCCAGGAACTTGGTGACATCATTGGCAGACATTGGGTCAACTTCCACATGTATGCGAATGATACCCAACTCTATCTCTCTGCCTCCACCCTTGACTCCAAGACTACTGCTGTCCTCACAGAATGCCTCTCAATTCCTGGATGAGAGCTAATTTTCTACAGTTGAACATCAACAAGACTGAGGCTCTCCTTATTGGCTCCTCTCAGTGCCTCCACACTTCAGGCGAAGGCAGCATCAACATCCAGGGATGCACACTCCACCTCGCCGAGGTAGTCCACAAGCTCGGCGTCTTGTTTGACCCCCAAATATCCTTTCTACCTGACATCCATGCCATGACCCGCTCTGCCTTCCCCCATCTCCGCAACGTCGCCCTGCTCCGACACTTGTCTCACACCGCAGGCTGCTGAAACCTTCATACGCGCCTTCATTACATCGAGGCTCGACTATGCAAACTCACTGCTTGTCGGCCTCCCCGACTCCTCCCTCCACAGGCTGCAGACCATCCAGAATTCTGCAGCCCGTGTCCTCTCCCGCACCGGGCTCCGTGACCCTATCGCCCCCATCCTCACCCGACTCCACTGGCTTCCCATCACACAGAGGATACAGTTCAAGGTCTGGGCCTTAGCTTCAAAGCCCTCTACGGTCTTGCTCAACCCTACCTTTCGGACCTCCTGACCCCCACCACCCTGTGCGCTGCCTCTGCTCAGCGGGCTCCGACCTGCTACATGTCCCCCGCCTCGCTTGCCTTACTATCGGCAGACGGGCCTTCCACCACTCTGCACCCACCTTCTGGCACTCCAACCCACAGTCCCTCCGCCTCACCCCATCCACTGCCACCTTCAAGACCCTCCTCTTCGACCGTGCTTTTGATCTCCCTACTTCCCCACCTTGCCTCCACCTTCCCCCACCCCAACCCCCTGCTCTGTCCATAACTCTGTCTGTCCAGCACCTTGGGACATCCACCCGACGTGAAAGGCTCTATACAAATGTAATTTTGTTGTTGTTGTAAGCCCTACCAACCTGCCCGCTCCCTCTGCTCCGCGGGCTCGGGACCGCTTCACGTCCCCTGCCTCACCCGCCCCACAATTAACGGTCAGGCCTTCAGCCTCTCTGCCCCCAGCCTGTGGAACTCAGTCCCACAGATCCTCCACTTCGCTCCATCCCTCACCTCCTTCAAGACCTGACTCAAGACCCTCCTCATCAAACGCGCCTTCGGTCACCCTCCTTTCCCCCCTGCTCTCCACCCTCCTCAATCCCAACCCACAGTTTCAGGTCCGAAATATTGATTGTCCAATGCCTTGGAATGCCCTCCTGACGCGAAAGGCACTGCGTAGATGTCCTTTTGTATTTTTTTCCGGGTGACTGCAACCGACTGAGTCAGGCTGTCAACCAACAGCACATCAACAAGCAGGTGAAGTTCACCACCTGCGACCTTAATCCTCTCCCCACTCAGCTGCTGGTCACTCTACTCCCCCGTCTAACCCAGCCGCCCCCTACTGGCTGACACGGTCAACCTGTCTCTCATCTCAGGTTCTGCCCCACTCCACCTGAAAACCGTTGTTATCACACCTCTCCTCAAAAAGCCCACCCTCGATCTCTCTAATCCTGGAGACTTCCGTCCCATCTCCAACCTTTCCTTCCTTGCACTGCCTTGCCCCCACCCATGTGAGTTTGGTCCCACGCAGTTAGATGAGGGAAGAGAGCCGATGGAGGAGGATGGCATGGTCAACTGTGTTGAACACGGCAGAGAGATCCAGGAGGGTCAGGAGGCAGAGGGGGCCCTGGTCACAGACAGAGAGGATGTCGTTTGTGACTTTGACAAGCGCTGCCTCTGTGCTGTGGGCAGTCAGGGCGAAAACCACTATGTAGGGGCTCGAGGAGGAAGGAAAGGTTGGGGATGGGATGGTAGTGTGCAAGATTAGAGGGGTCGAGGGTGGTTTTTTTTTGACCGTGTCGGCCAGCGGGGAGCGAGGGTTGGGGAGAACCTTGGCACAAACAAGAGTGAACAAGTGCAATGAAATGAGATGCAAAACTGGGTAATTTATTGATGAGAAAGACCAATAGAGAGAGAGAGAGAGAGGTGGGGGAGACGTAAGCAGAGAGAAGAGGGGCTTCGAGCATCATGTTTCAAGCTTTCCAGAGTTGGGTGATGTTCAAGCACAAAATGCTGTAGGAAGGAAGAGAGAGAGAGAGTGAGTGCGGGGAGTATACAACTCCTATCCCCCTTGGCCCCCCATCTCCCACGGTGTTGTTCCATTGCATGGTCTGGACATAGACAATAATAATAATCCTTCCATTTGGTATAGGGCCTTATGACGTCTTCGAGACGTCTCAAAGCGCTTCACAGGATACACTGTCAATGTGTAGTAGCTGTGTATTTTGTGGGCTAAAGGCAATAGCCAATTGCACACAACAGGGCCCCACACACAGTCCTGGATCGAGTGAGCACATTATTATTCAAAATAATAACCCTTCGGAACCCCATCCCATGGTCTCTTAGCCTCGCCCCCTCCCTCGCCTCTTTCCAGACCTGTCTCAAGACCCTCCTCTTCGACCAAACACACCTTCGGTCTCCCTCCTACGCCTACCCTCCCTGCCCTCCACCCTTCCTGATCCCAACCCCCAGCTCGGGTCGAACTCCCCGACTGTCCAGCCCAGTGCCTTGGAACGTCCTCCCGACATGAGAGACGCTGCGTAAATGTCATTCGGTGTCGTATTATATTGACTGCGCTTCTCAGTGTATTTCTCCCAGCGCCCAGCAACTGACCCAATTTTTGAGGCAGGACAAAGATCTCGTTCATGTTCAGGCAATTGGCTCGGGTTCGGAAATCATTCATCGTTGGCTTGCATACCCTATTATTCCTGGCTGTGTGGGCAGAGCAAAGGCAACCTTTAATCATCGTAATAATACTTACACCTACTCCAGCACCTTTCATAATCCTTGCTTTTGACACAGCGCATTACCACGTCTCCAAAGACGTCTCAAAGCGCTTCGCAGGACACACTGTAAAGTGGAGTGATTGTGTCTTTGGTGAGTGAAATGCGGCAGCCAATTGCTCACAGCAATGTCCCACCAACAGTCGGGGATTGAGTGCCCATATTATTTGTAGTTATTTTGAAGGAATTAAATCCCCCGGAAAAGCGATCATCCAATCGACTAACAACCGGGTTCCTGCTTCCTGGTGGGGGAGAGTTCAAAGGTTTTAGGGCGTAGTGGCTGAAGGCTGAAGTGAGTGACCAATCCTTTTATCGGGGGGTGGGGGGGGGATTGTCAGCCAGGACATTTGGGGAGCTAGAGGTATAATTTTCCGCTTACCGTACAGTAATATTCTGTCAAAGACCCGTTTGCCTGTTTTCTGTGTCTCACGCAGAATCATACAATTCTTGCAATCAGGTGAATATATACGGTGTCCCCGATGCGAGACATCTAGAGTTGAAAACAACCACAATAACTTGAGTTTACACAGCTCCGCTCGCGCATCATTGCGTCCCCGAGCACTTGAGAGCGACGGAGAATGAAACTGAGCAGTGGGAGGGGTGGGAGCTGACCTTATCACATATTGTCTGGGTCTCAGACGTATGTGTTCTCTATAATCTCCCACTGTTGCCTTATTTTGTTTTGCACCATCAATAAAAATGATCCTTGGATTTGATACAGCGCCGTATCGCGTCTTCGAGACGTCTCAAAGTGTAGTGACTGTGTGTTTTGTGGGTGAAATGCAGCAGCCAATTGCGCACAGCAGTGTCCCACAGACAGTCGTGGACTGAGTGACCAAACTGTGACCTGGGAATCGAACTCAGGTCCTCTTGGTTGCGAGACGAGTGCTCTTACCACTGAACTATAGGATGGCATCTATCAACGAAGCTGTGGTGTTTGTGTTCTGGGTGCAGAGGATCTTGCTTACCATCCCTCATCATATGCTTGGTCGCTGAATTAACATGGAACATCCACTCATTGTGAATACAGGCATCTGCACTGGAAACAACAACACAATGTCACTGCCTTGACCCACACCTTCCAGCCCTCTCCTCTTCCCTCGTCTCCTCTCATGGAGGTGCTCAAGGGTTCCTGTGATTTGGTGGGTCGACAACAGCAATTTGCATTTACACAGCGCCCTTCATGCACATTGTGTCCCAGAAATGCTTGACAGCGGCGGAGCATGACACCAGGCCGGGGGGAAGGAGGGTGGGAGGGAGGGGGGGACTGTAGACACAGTCGAAGAGGGAGGTCTTCAGGGATCACCTGAAGATGGGGACGGAAGGAAGAGGAAAGCCAGATGTTACTCCTATTTTTAAGAAAGGTAACAAAAGTGACCCAAGAAACTAGACCGGGAAGTTTGATGTCCATTGTGGGTAAAATAATGGAGACTCTCGTTAAGGAAAAAATAGTTTTGAATTAATTGGATTTTGTGTATGGTGGAGCTGGGGAGGCCGGCGGGCATTGGAATAGTCCAGCCGGGAAGTGATGAAGGTGACGAGGGTTTTGACCGCTGTGAGTGTGAGGTATGGACGGGGGTCAGACTCCGGGATAGTTACTTTGCAGCTCTCACGTCCCCTTTGGCAAACATCTTCAGGTCGTCTCTTTTGATTAAGGTGTAGATAGCGTTGTCTAGTTTCCTGATTTTCTCCAATCCGGCCTTCGTGGAGGAGGCTTGCATAATCAGGTACCACCGGCCATAAAACTGGGTGAGGAAACATCACATCAGAAGCGAAACTTATTTTCAGGAGATTGTTATTACTATTAGTATTGATAATAACAATCCTTGCATTTGATATAGCACCTTATAATGTCTCTGAGACATCTTAAACGGCACCTCCCACTCCCTCCCTCCCTCCCTCCCTCTCTCCCTCCCTCCCTCCCTCCCTCCACATTTTTGACCCTCTCGTGGAGCCCTGTAGCTCAGTGTTAGAGCACTCGCCTCGCAAGCGAAATGGCGTGGGGGTTTGATTCCAGGGCGGGTCAAGGAGTTGGACAAGTTTCCTTACTCTACACACCCAATGCTGTTGACTTCGCTGTAAGCAGGAACCCGGTTGTTAGTCGATTGGTGGATGGCCTTTCCCGGGATAATAATTCTTTCCAAAAAAAAATTACTATAAAAAATTGATCACTCGATCCACCACTGTTTGTGGGTCACTGTCGTGTGCATTCAATATCAGGATTTCCCAAATGAAGCCCACCACCCGCTCTCATGCCTACCCCTCCCCTTACCTTCCAGCTGCTCCTCCTTGCCACCAACTATCAGACAGGGTCAATCGCTCTGTGTCTACTTGCACTGTATCCAACCCCTTAAAATTACCCCTCATCTCCCGCTCTCCTGTCTCATTCAACCACCACCCACCAACCTGGTCCTCGCCTTTAAAGCCCTCCACGGCCTGGTTCCTCCCCACCTCTGTGACCTCCTAACCCCCTACCAACCTGTCCGCTCCTTCCATTCAGGGGTCTCCGGCCTGCTTCATGTCCCCCGCCCGGCGCTCCCCAGCATTATTGGTCTGGCCTTCAGCCTCTCTGCCTCCACCCTCTGCATCCCACAGTCCCTCAGCCTCGCCACCTCCCTCGCCTCCATCAAGATTTGTCTCATCACGCACCTCTTCGACCAATTACACCTTCGGTCACCTTCCTACCTCCACCCTCCCTGCCCTTCGCCCCTCCTGATACCAACCGCCAGCTCGAGCATGGATCACAGACTGTCCAGCACATTGAGGCGTCCTCCTGACACTAAAGGCGCTGTGTAAGCATAACGTGTTGTGTTACCTTGTTGCTCTTGGCCAAGTCGGCTGCATATAACTCATCGTTGAAGTCACAGCTCGTTCCTCCCTGGACGCCCAGACAAAACAGGCAGAAGAACCAGATACAAACCTGCTGAAAGATCATGGTGAGAAAACAAAGACAACTTGCGGAGTCTACACAGTAAACGAGGTTCCTCCGACTGGACGCAGTGCGGACACAGCAATGTGCGTACAGCCAGCGAGTAGGGAGGTTAAATAGAGCTTGTGGTGACATCAGTAAACCAGGATTATTAACCAGCGACGTGGCATTTGCTGGGAACACTTTGTTCCTTTCAGATGCACACCACCCCAGTCCTCACCATGCTCCCCGTCACACACTAACCTCCGTGACTCCTCATCACCCCAGCCCTCGGCAAGCTCCGTAGACTCTCTGTCACCCACGCTAAGCTCTTTGCCCCCATCATCCCAGCCCTTGCCAGGCTCCACTGGCTGTCTATCACACACATTATCTCCGTACCCCCTTCACCCCAGCTTCGCGGGTCTCCATCGGCTCCCTATCATACACACTAAACTCTGAATCCCCCATCACACCAGTCCTTGCTATGCTCCACAGGCTCCCAATTACCAAAAGGAATGATTTGAGGATCCTCTCACTCCTTTTCAAATCCCTTCATGCCCTCGCACCTCCCAATCTCTCCGAGCTGCTTACCCCCACCTGCTGCCTCCGCTCGGCTGGTTCCAGCCTCCTGTTTGTCCCTCATGCCCCCATGTTCCACCATCGGTGACTGTTGTCTTGAGCCATTATGCCCAGAAACTCTGGAACTCTCTTGCTCAATCCCTCTGACTTGCCCCCTCCCCACTGTCAAATCCCACCTAAAGACCTAACTTTTTGACCGTGCTTACGGTCATCTACCCACTCCCCTGATGGCCTGATGTCAGATTCCGCCATTATAAACGCAAGTTGTTTGCTGCCGAGTTTTGCCAACAAAACACACGGTCACTCCACTTTACCGTGTATTCCGTGAAGTGCTTTGAGACACGAAGACATGATATCGAATGCAAGGCTAATTTTTATTATTATTACTAATAATCTGCAGATTCATATTTAATTCTTGGAAACGCCGAGACAATCCAGCAATAATTGACATAGCTGTCGCACACAGCCCAGCTAATTGCCACCCTCGTGCGTAGGTTTTTATTTTACCGTGTCCTGTGAGGACACGATGTCCCACACACCAGGATTACTCTGGAGTCGCCATCAATTGAACATTAACCTCCCAGACAAGATGGCAGACAAACCGTAGGAAACTCTCAATGGATCCGGAATTGAGCAGCTCAAGAGGTGGAATCCACTCGCGGTGATGAGGAGGGAAATGGGGACCTTTTTGAAGCCACGAAACGCAGAAAAAGGGGGAATGCGAATGTAAAGGGGAGGAGGAGGACAATATAGTAATAATAATCCTTGTATTTGATACAGCGCCTTATCACGTCTTAACACCAGTGTTGTGGATTGAGAAATCATTACAAAACCAAGGCAAAGATTATTATGATGAATAATTATAATAATCCTTGCTTGCATTTGATATAGTACCTTATCACGTCTTCGAGATATCTCAAAGTGCTTCACAGAATATTCCGTAGAGTGCAGTGACTGGTTATTTTGTGGGCGAAACGTCACCTCATAATAACAGGAGGCGACACTGACTTCAATCACGTGCCTCGCAGACCAGATAATAGAAGTGAAGATCTGCACCCACGTCAGTCATTTGGATGAAGTGATTGTTACGGCAATAAAATGGATATGATGGAGATTGTAGAGTTGGGTTTAGTGCACTCGCCTCTCAAGCGAGAGGGCCTGGGTTTGGCAGGTAGGTCTGGGTGAAACCTTGGGCAACTTTCCTTACTCCACACATGCACACGCGTGCGCGTGCCTCCGTTTACCGGGCAGTAAGTAGGAACCCGGTGGGTTGTTAGTCGATCGGCGGATCGCTTTCCCGGGGCTGATAATTCCCTGCAAAAAAAAGAAAAAAAACCTAGTGAGTAATTTGGTCACTCGATCCACGATCCAATTCCAGATGACAATCCCTCCAACAACAAACAAAAAAAACACGAGGATAAATTGGTCATTTTCAACACCCGCGGCCGTTTGTGGGACAGACGCCGACGTGCGCAATTGGCCGCCGCGTTTCGTCCACACATATACGGTCAGTTCACTCTGCAGCACATCAATAATAATAATAATAATAACAACAATAATAATAATATTCGACTTCAAGATCTTCACCCTCGTACTCGAGTCCCTGCGCTCTTCTGCGCCCCCCCCCCCGACCTCCCTGCCCTCCCCTCTCCTCAAAGCAGCACCCCGTTGCCTTCGTTCCTTTGGGGTCTGACCTCCTCCTCGTCCCCAATCCCCCCCTGTCCCCCCACCCCCCCCCCCCGCCCGAGTCCTCCGCTGCTCCACCTTCGGCGGCCGTGCCTTCGGCCACTACGCCCCCCCGAGGCTCTGGGACCTCCTGCCTCCCTCCCTCCCTCATCCATCTCTCTCCCTCCCGTCCCGTTTTCAGGTCTCCGCTGAGGACCTTTCTTTTCGACCGCGGCGTTGGTCACCTTCACCCCCACCCCTCTCCCCCCCCTCCTCCTCCCCCCACTCCCCCCCTCCCACCACCACTCCCCCCCACCACTCCCCCCGGCGCTCGGTCCCGGGATCCGTGACCGTAAAGCGCTCTGAGGCGCCGTCCGGCGTGGGGGTGGGGGGAGTGGTGGTGATGGTGGTGGGGGGGACGGGGGGGGGGGGGGGGACGTCGCGGCGTCTCCCCCACCCCACGCCAATGGGTTGGCGCGTGATTGGCGGACGACGGACGGCCGCGTCTTTGTCAGCGCGGATCGTGGAGGGTGGGGGGTGGGGGTGGGGTGGTGGGGGTGAGGGGGTGGGGGGGGGGTGGGGGTTGTTGTTGTTTGGGTGCAGGCACTGATGGGGGCAGCCCGGCGGTAACCAGGGCAACCGGTGAGGGGGGAAGGCGGAGATGGCGGGAAGGGGGAGGGGTCCTGAGGCGGTGCGCAGCGCGCAGGCGCGCAGGACGCGGAAGGGGGGGCGGCGCGGAGCGAGCGGTGGGTGGGTGGGTGGGTGGGGCAGAGCGCGTGCGCGGCCCCGCCCCCCTCCCCCGACCCCGCCCCCCCGTCCCGCCGGCCGGAACGGGAAGTACGCAGGCGCGAGGAAAAAGCCGTCAGTGCGCAGGCGCGGACGGTTGGGCGGCGGGGGCGGCGGCCTTGCGCTGACGTGACGTGACGTGACGTGACGGGAGAGCACGACGGCGACGGCGACGCGACGCGACGGAGGAGGCGGAGGCGGAGGAAGGAGGAGGCGGTGGCGGCGGCGTCGGCGGCGGAAAGAAACCGGAGCCCGAAACGGCGGCCATAGAAAGAGAGAGAGAGAGAGGAGAATGAGAGAGAAAAGGAGACAGAGAG